CAAAGTACATTCTCAATCAAATTCTATTGTGTTTAATCATGTCTATTCTTAAATCTCCTAACCAAGTTAAAAGTTAATCAATCAAAGTAAATTCTCAATTGATTATAGTTGAAATTATTACTACCAACCAAAGTACATTCTCAATTGATAGTAAAAACCATTTAATCATATGAAAGTTCCTAAATTAAATCAAAGTAGATTCTCAATTTAAACCTAGAAACCCTAAAACTCATATAATCAATATGCATGTAGATTCAAACATATTATGATGCAAAAATCTTTGCTTTTAACAAGATAGAGAGATGAAAGACATAGAGAGAACAACTTAAATCAATAACCAAAGTAAACAATTGCATTAACTGAACGTAACCTCAGAATCCGTCATGAAATTACAGCAGAATAGCCCTAGATGCTTAGCTCTCCATGAATGGAGTTGAATACAAGATGAAAGAAAAGTGAGAGGAGTATGAGAGAATGAATGTATGAAGTGAAGTCCTCTGGGTCTCTTTAAATAGGGCTTGATTGGGCTTGGACTCTGAATAGTTTGTTGATAAGATATTTTCTGTTGATATATTATATCTTTCAAATATTCATTAGATTAAATCAGTTTTAAAGAATATTTGATAGATATTAACTTAATTATCTTATATCCTATATCTTCCAAATAACTAAAAGATAATGATAAAATTATTTGGAAGATATTTTCTGTTGATATTCCCAAATTAAATTCAACAACTAAATTTTATCTTTTAGATTTTCTGACTTTCCAAAATTGCACAAATACCTTGAAATTTCCTCTATCTGCACTTTAGCCCCTTTTGAATTTTCAAAATAAAATCTGATTTTGGGTCTTGAATTTCCATTTGAACCAATAAAACTTATATTTTCAACTGCACAAATAAACATTAGAACATCCAAGAATAATTTATGCACTAAAACTCACTTTTTACGTCTCTTTATTTCCCAAAACCCAACAATTTTAATTATCACAAATTCACTTAAAATCAACCATTTAAGCACAATTATCCCATCAAAAATTTGAATTTTAAAGCATAAATGTGGACATAAATATACACTCATCAATCATGCACAAACAAAAACATGTATGTGGTAAGCTACCGGTAAAACAATCATAATAACATGATGTAAACATACTGATTAAATCAACAATAATCAAACATCCTGTTAAAATAGAATGACTCAATTTCTCACACTAAGAGGGGGGTGAATTGGTGAAGTATAAAATTTAAAACTTTCAAAATCTTTTTCACCAAAAGAGATGCCTCTATACTTTTCTTCAAATGCAAGTTAAAAGATTTTCAATGAATGCATATAAAGTATAATTGATTAAATGTAAAAGAGTATGGATAAGAAAGATCAAACGTGGAGTTTTTATACTGGTTCGGCCAACCACAGGAAGTCAATGCACTATAATGATCAAGGTTTTTACAACAAGGTTTTTATGGAGACCTCACGTAAAAAATATAAAACACCTCTCTAACCCTCTAATGAAAATATAGGCAGTACATAAATAGACTAGCAGCAAGAATCCCCTCTCCTGCAGTCCAACCCCTTTGAGGCACCCTCAAAGTCAAGAACACAACACGTCCTTCTTCTTGTAATCACAACAGGGAACTCAACCCAATCTTCAGCAGATTGTAGAACCTGATCTTGCAATAGACACCCAAATATGCAGATAGATCAGACTTTGAAAACTCAACAATCTTGCTCTTCAAGAAATCATAATTAGTTAATCACCGTGGTCAAACTAGTTTCTTAGAGTCTTTTCTCTTTCTGTAAACTTTACACTTTTCTGCAAAAGAATATGAAAAGGTTAGAATCACAAAAATCAAATTTGCGTCAATATATAAATAAACTCGTATCAGACGTAATATAATCGACTTTGCTACTAATGCAGTCAAATATACCAATTCAGTTATAAAAAATAGTAGCAGTCAAAGCAATTAATTGAATTCACAATTAATGTAGTCGAATAGCACTTAATGCTTGGTCAACACATTTAAAAATATAGTCGTTGTGTAGTTATATCAAGCATTAACATATTTCAAAATAGTAACAAACTTAATCGAATACATATCGCATGCAATCGATTATGCAATATGTTATGCAAAGTTTTGAAAACTTTTCTCTTTGAAAAACTCTCACAGCACACTTGAAAAAGGTTTGTGCAAAGACACGAGTTTTATTCGATTCACCCCATGATGTAATCGATTTAAAATTGTTGTTTTGCCACACAATTAAAGTTCAACATTAGTGCTTGTGGTTTTTCTCATCGAAAAACATGTGTCATGCATTCATGTACAAAATCAATATATAACACAGTGAAATGAAATGAAGAACACAAAAACAACACAATCATGTTCTCATATACGCATATAGCATGTAAGCATAAAACATATAACACAAAATACACATGTGTTATTAATTATGTGTTGTCATCATCAAAAACTCATATATTACTGAGATTGTGGGTTCAATTATACCAGTGCTCCCCTTATCAACAATCTCAACACATCCTATACATAGTGATATGATAGATGGGGCAAAATGAAGAGTATTAAGAGTGACAAGAAGCATAAAGAGAAATAGCATATATTTTCTTAGGCTTATATTTTGCCTATTCTAGTTTCTAGTTTCTTTCTCTTTGTTTTGTTGTAAAGAAGCATATATATTCTTCTTTTCTTTAGGGTGCAAGCAATATGTGGGATTTCACATAGCTTGATCTTTAGACTAGTTATGTAACTTATATACCCTTAAGAAGTTGAAGAATTAAGAGATGTGAGACTTAAAACAACCTTGGGAGCTGTTGTCCAAACTTGAAGGCCTTCAAGTCCTACAACCTTTGGTTTTCTCCATCTACTTCATCACTTAGTGCTATATAAGCAACCTAAGGTCTCCTTTGTACATACACCTTGAACACCTTCAAATTTGAATATAAAGAGTGTTTTGCATTCAATTGCATTACTTCTTTAAGATAGAATTTTGTCTCTTAGTCTAATTTTAGGTCTTATCTTGTGAAGAACAAGTGACGATCCTCCTTGGAATTTATCTTGGATCCTTTCAAGTGGCATGCCTTCCAATTCATAAGTTTTTTGTCCTTACTCTCTTACATTTTTAGTCTTTTAATTCCATTTCTTAATTGTTCTTATTTAGTTCTTAGGCTTATTTCTATCTAGGCATGTTGTTCCATTCAATATCTAGTCCTTATTTCACTTTAGTTCCATCGTTTACTATGTTCATTTGTTGATAATTCATTCAATAGTCCATAGTTTGCTTGTTGTTTGGGTTATTCCTAATCTGTTTGTTGTATTTGCTTGTTGTTTTGTGTGTTTGCTAGCTAGATTTTGCCTTCTGGATGTTATTCCTCATCAAGAACACATCAAGAGGGATGTAAAGACTCCAATTAAGTGCCTAGAAGTGGTCCAAAAGCTATTGTCCAGATACTATAAACAGAACCTTCCAGCATAAGCAACAACCTCTTGGAAGTCTTCAACAAGTAGGCTTCTAAAGTCTTTTTTTTTTTCCTTTCTAGCTATTATTTCTTATCTTGGCTTGTTTGTTTGGTGTCCTTATTGAGTGTTTAACCTTTGATTTGAGTCATATGATTTCTCGTTAGGAGTTTTCTAGCAATTTTATCTTGAACTGCACTTGCTAGAGTCCTTTGCATCATTGCTCTTATATGATGAAATTGAGATGGATCAAACTAGGACTTAAGTGTGTATTCTTTGGTTATATGTTCTACACTACTAGAGGTCTTAAACAAACATAAAATCAATTTTGTTCAAACGCATAGACTCAAATTTTGAATGCTTGGCCAAAACATATAGCTGCAGCAGTTTGAAAAAAAAAATCAAATCAAATCACCAATCTATTCTTGCTGTTTTGAATGTGGCTAAGGCACTCTTCCAGTTTTGTGTGTGTTTTAACATCTTAATTTAAGCCTCTATTATCATCATTTTACATAATATATTAGTTTGTGTCACTTCGATTTTTTTGTGCCAATTTTTCTTGTTTTACTAAGTTCCTTTTACATAATTTGTCTAGTAGTTTTCACCTTATTTTTTGGCCTCTTGAAGTGTATGTCTTTTTGTATTGTGTCCTTGTATTTGTTGAGGTTGATTATACATCCTTTCACTTGTATTTTTTAGTGCTCTAAATTTTGATTTTGAGACACCTTTTATCTTGAGTGAAGATTACAAGTGAGTTGAAGTGATCTTTTTTTTTTTAGCCAAAACTGTGAGCATTGAACTAAGAAGAGTGTTGCTGTTTTTATGAGTGATTTTCCCGTTGTTTCTAACCTATTTTTGTGTTTCTTGCTGTTTTGTGTTAGAAAAATGCCTACAGGTTCAAGGCATTCTTGCTACAAAAAGATAGTGAAACTTTAATTTGAAATAACTTTAATTTGCATAAAATAATAGAAATTATGAATGCTTATTGAGGTTATTGGAGCGAATGAAAGATGGTGTATTACTCGACAAGAGTGTTAGGGATTAAACCACTAATTAAAAAGTACGTTTACATAATAAGGATTTGATGTGTATGAAAATTAGGATTACATTTTTTTCATCACGGGCAGAATAACCCCACTTCCACTTGTCACTACAAGTCAAAAATGTCCTCTTGCTCACCACAGCTTTTTCTTGATTCCCCTCTCCATCGACTAATTCAAATAGCAGTTTTGTGCATAACACCATGGCCCACTTTTCGTTTCTCTTTTCTTCTCTCTGTGTTCTGCCACAACCTGGGCCCCACCTTCATCTCATGCATATTTCGGTCCTTCGAGTCAATGATTCATCCCAAAAATTTAATAATTAATTCCAATTCTTTGGAGTGTGGTTTTAGATTTAGATTGATTGATTGCCATAACTCATGTCCGTGATCAGAAGCGACACTCACGAGAAAGAGAAAAGGAAAAAGAAAAAGAGAAAGAAAAAAAAAAACTAGGGTTTGATGGTTGGATCCTCGTATATAAAAGAACACCCTCATTCTTACAAACTCACTGCAACATTCCTCTTTCTCTTTCCCTACACCGTCTTTGAATCATGGGAAAGTTTGCCCTAGCTAATGTCCTACTGTTCCTTCTCTTTAACCTGACAACCTTCCTCAATGTTCTTGCTTGTCCTTATTGCCCTTACCCCTCTCCTAAGCCCCCAAAACACACTCCCATAGTGAAACACCCAAAACCATGTCCACCACCCCACTCATCTCCCAAACCTCCACATGTGAATCCACCCCATGTTCCAAAACCCCCTCATTACCCTAAGCCACCACTGCATCCACACCCACCCTATGTCCCAAAACCTCACCCTAGACCGCCAGTTCATCCACGTCCACATCCCCCTCATGTTCCACTACCCCCAGTTGCAAAGCCACCCCCATATGCCCCCAAACCACCGGTTGTCACACCACCCTACATCCCTAACCCACCGGTTGTTCCGGTTATTCCTCCTTACATCCCAAAACCTCCGGTTGTCCCCGTTATACCTCCTTACATTCCTAAACCACCAGTTGTGCCCGTTACACCACCTTATGTGCCAAAACCACCCATTGTGAACCCTCCGGTGGTTCCTTTGCCACCACTTCAACCAACTCCACCCTCCGTGACACCACCAAGCCCTCCAAGTGAAACACCATGTCCACCACCACCACCATCACCGACACCAGTGGTGCCGTACCCTCCACCAGCACAACCAACATGCCCTATTGACTCTCTGAAACTGGGAGCGTGTGTGGATGTGCTCGGTGGCCTCATCCACATAGGTATTGGAAGTAGTGCTAAACAGACATGTTGTCCAGTTCTTGCAGGGCTTGTTGACTTGGATGCTGCAGTTTGTCTCTGCACAACCATTAGGGCCAAGATCCTTAACATCAACATCATAATCCCCATTGCTCTTCAGCTTCTCATTGACTGTGGCAAGACCCCACCAGATGGATTCAAGTGTGCAGATAGTTAGTTAATATATATTTATCAAGGTAGTGCACCCAGTTTAAGTGGTTTCTTTCGACCCATTCTTCTTTTCAACTCGCGTTTCACATCTACTTTTCGTGTTTGTACTGTTGGGAAATAATGGAAAAGCATACATTTTTAAGAACAAACAAGCTCTTTCCGAACATCGATCGTTTTCTCATTTCTTTACTTGTGGGGTATTTTCCTTCTCTCGATCTTCCATGCATCATTAGCTGTGAGCTCGAGAGGTGGAAAAAATGGTAAACAAATGAGATTTTTCAAATATATACAACTTTTTGTTAAAAAAAGACTTTATTTAAGTTTGATCAGTATGTAAAAACCAGATTGAGACGTTGCGTAGACAAACGAATGAACAATTTTATTTGGTAGTACATAGCTAGAACAAGATTCTTCTTTGAACACATGCTTTTAAACTTTTGGGCAATAGAACTAGGGTTTTGTACAGGAGTACAAAGTTAACACAGTTTTTTTTATTTTGTTGGAAAGGTGAATAGGAGTATTCTTTAACAGTTTCTTTTGCCTAATGTTCCCAGGAATTGCATAACTAGTGCATGAATAAGTGAAGCAAAGTCGAGAAGATGCAGTGAAGAAATCGTTTCTCTTTAATGAAGTTGTATACAAAGACAATTTAACTAGGAGGGAAATTGGTTTACTTGTTGAGCCTAGATAATTTTGTGATGTTCCATGTTTACAGAGCCATGCATCATTGGCATGGCAGCATCAACTTTTAAAATGTCTGTGGTTTTCTTTCTCTGTTTGTTGTCTTGCAGGTGTGGTTCTGTGTGCATGTCAGCTTCTGTAAGTTCACCCGTGAGTGAGTGAGTACGTTGGGAAATGTACAAGTTAAAAGTTCCAAGTTAATGAGTTTTAATAATTCTCTTTACTCATTGCACGCCTCTGCACTAATTTTCTGGGTAGAGATTGGCAATTGAAATCTTCCACCTTGTTAATTTAACAGAAAAATATTGTAAAATTATAAAAATGTGACTCAGTAAAACACAGAGCTATGATAATCATATAAAAATAAGGTCTCAAACTTTATTTGAGTTTGTTTATATAATTCAAAATTAATTTACCAATAATAATGACTATATTTCTTTATAAAATAACTAAATTGATGAACTATGATTTTGTAGTTGGAAAGAATGACTAACTGAAATAATGACTAAAGGTTCTTATATTATCTGATCAAGGCTAATCATTTAGTGTTAACCGTCTCTAGTGTTAATATGTATGATATGTGATTTTAGAATTTTAAATGTGTTTTCCAGTTAGTATTTTCTAATAGACTATTTAGTTGAAGTTCACATTTGAGTTGTATTATTGTGGAATAAAAGTTTGGTCAAAAGTTAACACTTGCGTTGTCCTAAATGAATGAAAAGTTGTCGAAAGAGAAACTAATAAAAATACTTATAATTTTAGTGAATTCTCTTATATTAATTCTTCTTTAACCATTTTTATCTTTCATTTTTTTTACACTTTATCTTCTTTTTAATGTGATTTTTTTTTACATATTTTACTTTTTAATGTATTTTTTTTTACATATTTTACGGGTGCTGTATTTTTGTTTATATGGTTACACGTGGGTAAATTACCAAAAGTTGGAAAATTTTAATTTGTGATAAAAAGAGACTGAAATAGTAAATAAACTATTGTAGGTTTGTTTTTCAATGTAAAAGTTAATAAATATTTTTAGTTTTTCTTATAAAAGCTTTTGATGTACTAAAGCACCTATAAAAGGAGAAAAAAAAAATAACAGTTCTGAGAGGACCATATTAAAATCTAATAAGAAAACAAAGCACGGTAAAACAAAAAAAAGGACACATTTATTTGTAGAAAAATCATATCCCATAAATCTAAGAGGATCTCATCATCCATTATCCAAATAATAATTAACACGTATGTCAGCACATGAACGGTAACATGCATTCCTGCCATCTAGCATGGATTTCTATGGAACAATTTTATCTTTATTAATTTATCACGTGAATAGGTAAATCTTCACTTCTATATATAATTTTTTAATTGTATATATTATTTATTTATTAGTTTTATTATATTACATCGAGACCATCACTTTTATTTCATTATAATTATTATTAGTAAACTATTGTAAAATTTATTATATAAAACATTTCATAAGAACAGTATTACACAAAGTAATATGAGAAATGTGACGTGTGGAGTAAAATATATTTTTTTTTTCTAATGCGATAAACGTAAAAGCACTTTTGGAAAAGTTATTTCATAAACTTCAATTATTATAATACAATTGTAATAGGACAAAGCTGTGAATCACATCAAAGTGAGTATTATACTTGCTCCTTAGCCTGAATAGATAAAAGGCTGCATCATTTATTGCGTAAGAAGATTGAATAGCCAGCTGTAATTTTGTCCCTATGCTATGATTATTATGGCAACTTTGGGAGAGTGAAAAATATACGGTGCTCTTTTGTTAATAGGTGAATTTTAACTCAATTTTTATTTTATAAATTCATTTTAGAGGAAGGAACGCGTACTTATTTATATTCTGTTTTTAATTAATGAGATTTTTTAAAGATCTTTTATATGAAGTTATATATATTTTGAGTGTAAAATTGATATTAATAAGTGATTTAAACGTAGGTGGAACAATAAACAAACAAATGATAAATTTCATTAAGATAAGTTTTAATATATAAGAAGTTAATTTTAAATTTATTTTAACTTTACAAAATTACACTAATACAAAATAAGCACGATTAAATAAAGACTATTAGAAAATTTCTGTTATTAAAATAAATTTTTTAACGACGATTCATGAGGAACTATCATTAAATGTAAGACTTTAGAAAAATAATGGGTTTACAAGGGAATTGTTGTTAACGAGATTCTAGGAAACGATGATGGTTCTTGCACATAATCATTATTAAGGGTGTTACAAGAAAAATCACAACCTTTTCATTCACGTGTTGACTTTTTTCACAATTTCTACAACTTTGCACTACTCCTTCTATCACTGCTCACACTTGCTCCATTCGTTGTTATTGTTGGAGGTCATCTTAGTCTGGTGCCGACATATGTGGTGTTTGTCAATGTTCGAGGTCATTCTACTCACCTAACTCTTATTACATTAATGCAACTTTCAATGTGAATCCTATTTGTTGGTTTCTTGTGTTGTTGTTGTTGGTTCCTCTTGGTGCCGACTATTGTTGCTTGCGTTGTCACCACTTATTGCTTGCATCGCTGTTACCATTCACACTTCTTGTGTTACCATCGTTATTCACACTAGTGTAACCGTTATAGTTCACAAGCCTTAGTGCAGACAGATGTTTCCACCTAACCTTCCTCATTGCTACCTCATTCGCTCTTTCCCTAGCCTGGTCTACTTGCCATTTTCACATCTCAGGGTCTCATTGACGTTAGTTTAATTAGTTTCATGTAATTAGATCCTATTGTATAAATTAGAGATTTGAATCATCCCTGTTTTTCTCACATATAATGACGGTTCAAACCTTCATTAATTCTCTCTATTTACAATGATGGCTAATTAATGATGATTATATAACCATTGTTCAAAGCCTTCTATAATCGTTGTTGAAATCCATTTCCATAGTAGTGTCAACTTGTAAGTAGTCTTTGCACTAACTTATATACTTTAAAATGACCTTATCTTTAGTCGCTGTGAGATTTTCAACACTAAATTTCATTATCTTGGATAAAAAAACGAGTAAAAGAGAACAAGAAAATAAAATTATCTCTTAAAATCGCTAAAAATAGGATTAAACTAAGATAGATATTGGTAAATTTTTTTGATAATTTAAATAGTATACAAGTTTTATACATAATGCTTTTCATATTAAAAGACAAAAAAAAAATTATTTGTAATTTTGTACAAGCAAGTGCCTTCCAATTCCTACAACAAATGCTGCTTTAGTTGAAGATCGATTGATTGGATCACGAATGAGCTTTGAAGAGAATTTCGTATCTAATTTCATGAGATCGATTCACAATTTAAAAACTTTGGAGTAGTCAAATTAAAGGGAAATGTTTTAGTACACTTAAAGCTTTATGATAAAGGATTATCTCCTCAACATATATGAGAAGAACTTAAGGAAGAACATTTTCAATTCAAAGGATCTATGACAAGGTCAAACATCAAAATACGTTTCCTTGAATCTTATAATGTATCATGAAAGAGGAAACTAAAAAAACATGAAGATCATGAGCATAATTGAAGAATAATTTAGGAAATTAAATAAATTGTAATTTTTTTAATTTTACATAATGTTAAATTCGCTAAGCAAGCCAATTTGTGTTCGTTGGGCAAGTGAGCCCCGCTAGGCGAAAGTCTACGTCTGTAATTTTTGTTTTTTGGTATTTTTATGTGTTTTGGGCTGAGTTTTATTTTAGGGCTTCTAGGTTTTCTTAAACTTATGTGCGTATATAAAGAGGAACCAAAAGTTGATGTAAACTTGACTTATGAATTTGGTAGATTATAGCATCCTCATCCTTGTCTTATTCCACATTTTTCTCTGATTTAATTTTGTTATGTCTCTTAAGGATTCAAATTCATAAGTGATTGTACTCTTTCTTGGACAAAATCATATTATCTGGTATCAAAGCAAGGTTCTTATTAGAATATCCTCTATTATCTTACTTTTTGACATCTTAAAAAAATCCTAAAATTCTTGAAGGTTTGTGTTATGTGCTTTGTTTTGAAATTTTGTTTGGTTCATTGTTCTTAAAATTTTATAATGAGTAAAACCCCTAATATTTTATCCAATTTCGTTTAGTTTTTAAATTTTCATGTTTTGCATTTAAATTGTGCATTTCTACATTTGATTCGTGGAAATTATCTATTTTAGATTACTAATAAAATTTTTACCTTGATCTTGCATGAGTTTTGGTGTTTGCAGGGTGATACCTTGTCGTTTATGCTATCATATTACTACTACTTAACCAAGGCAATTCAGTATTGTCAAGTTAGTAGTCAACAAACTAGAAAGGGGTAAGTTAACCCTGAGTTGTATCCCAACGAATACGAAATTTCTTTTCAATAGTTGTTTCTTATGGAAGTATGCGAAAGGTTAGTAAAAAACAAAGCACATGCTAAAAGATAAAAGTAAAAATCTATCCTAATGAAATTAATATTGAAGATTGATTTATGTCTGAATTTAATGAAATAAAAACTAAAAGACTTTGAAACAATTATGTTGATAGGGGAGTAATGTAATAACTGAACCCAATCCCTACTATGTTATTTTTTATGATGACAACACATTAATAGCAAATAACACATGAATGTTGTAATGTCACAATAGAAAAGTGTTTCTGTGTTGTGTTATACATATGTGAATTTGTACATGCTTACTATGTTATACGCAATACTGTGATAAAGGCAGATGTTGGACATACTGTGTTGGTTATGCATACTATTGTGTTTATGATGTGATTATATCTGTATATGCACATTGTATGTTTCTGTATAATGAAAACCACATGCACAAAAAGCATATTTGCATGACATATTCAATTACAGTGTTGTAGTAATCAACTAAGGTCATCAGACAACTTATGTTTTGAATTGTGGAAAAACAACTAGTTTGGATCGATTACATTAGTTGTTAAATCGATTAAAACTCGTGTGTTTGCATATATCATTTTCATATGTGTTGTGATGAGTTATTGAGAAGAAAAAGTTTTCAAAATTCTTTTAAGTGTTAAGCTTAATCGATTACATATTTTGTGTATTCAATTAAGTCAGTTATCTTTTGAAAATTGTTTTTAGCTTAGTCAAAATGCTTTAACGATCATATTTTTAAAATATGTTTGATTAACATTTAATGCAAATCGATTACATTAATTGAGCATTCAATTAAGAGTTAAGTTTGTTGTAATG